GCGAGAGATACCATTCAAGCCGATCCCCATCTCGCCCCGGATCGCTACATCATTGGAGGAGCCACAAGAGTTGGAGCTTAAACCCCTCCCATCTCACCTGGAGTATGCATTTCTCCGGGAGGGGAATAAGCTCCCGGTTATTATTAGCTCAGATCTGACACCCGAGCAGAAGAGCAGGCTGGTGGCTCTGCTGCAGAAGTATGCCCGGGCCATGGCATGGAAGATCACCGACATAAGAGGCATTAGCCCATCCTTCTGCTCCCACAGAATTTTGATGGAGGATGAGGTTAAGCCAGTCAGGCAGCCACAGAGGAGATTGTCTCCTAACTTGGAGGCAGTGGTCCGGGCAGAGATTGTGAAGCTCATGGATGCAGGGATCATCTTTGCTATATCTGATAGCAAGTGGGTCAGCCCCACTCAGGTGGTCCCGAATGAGAAGAAGGAGTTGATCCAGATGCGGACCGTGACCGGCTGGAGAGTCTGCATCGATTACCGGCGCCTGAACGACGCCACCAGGAAAGATCATTTCCCCCTACCTTTCATTGATCAGATGCTGGAGAGGTTGGCTGGTCATGAGTTCTATTGCTTCCTGGATGGCATGTCTGGTTACTTCCAGATTCCTATTGCACCGGAGGATCAGGCGAAGACCACATTCACTTGCCCCTTTGGTACTTTTGCTTACCGGAGGATTCCATTTGGGCTGTGTAATGCACCGGCGACCTTCCAGAGATGCATGCTGGCGATCTTCGACCGACTGGTTGGAGAGATCATGGAAGTCTTCATGGATGATTTCTCGGTATATGGAGACTCCTTCACTCACTGTCTCCATAACCTGGAACTCATTCTGAAGAGGTGCGAGGAGACTAATCTGGCACTCAGCTGGGAGAAGTGCCATTTCATGGTTCGTGAGGGTATTGTGCTCGGGCACAAGATCTCCAAGTAGGGAATTGAGGTGGATCGCGCGAAGATTGAGACGATCAGTCAGTTACCTCCTCCTGTTTCTGTGAAGGGGATTCACAGCTTTCTGGGTCATGCAGGCTTTTACCGGCGCTTCATCAAAGATTTCTCGAAGATTTCCCTGCCTTTGACCAAGCTGCTGGAGAAGGATGCACCATTCCAGTTCACTCCCGAGTGCACAGCTGCATTTGAGACTCTGAAGGAGAAGCTTACCCATGCACCTATTATGGTGACTCCTGACTGGTCTCTTCCTTTTGAGCTGATGTGCGATGCGAGTGACTATGCAGTTGGAGCAGTTCTGGGTCAGAGACGCGAGAAGCACTTCCAGCCCATCTACTACGCGTCGAAGACCTTGAACGATGCACAGGAGAATTACACCACCACAGAGAAGGAGCTCCTCGCTGTGGTGTATGCGTTTGACAAGTTCCAACCCTATCTGGTGCTCTCCCATGTGGTGGTCTACACTGACCACTCGGCGATTCGCTACCTGATGAGCAAGGCTGATGCAAAGCCTAGGCTCATCCGCTGGATCCTGCTGCTGCAGGAGTTTGATATCGAGATCCGGGACAAGAAGGGAGCCGAGAATGTTGCTGCACATCATCTTTCACGGTTGGAAGCCCCTCCGGTGGACAACTTCGAGGAAGAGATCGACGACTCCTTCCCGGGTGAGCGAATGTTGGCGATGACCCTGGTGGACAGCGTGGCCCCTTGGTATTCTGACTTTGCCAATTATCTGGTGGGCAAGCAGTTACCCAAGGGGATGGCTACTCATGCAAAGCGCAAGTTCTTCTCCGATCTGAAGCACTACTTCTGGGATGATCCTTACCTCTTTAGAATCGGAGCAGATGGCGTGATCCGGCGTTGTGTCATGGAGCATGAGATGGGAGACATCCTGTCTCAATGTCACGAGGGACCTACTAGAGGTCATCATGGAGGAAACCGCACGGCGCGGAAGGTGCTACAGTCGGGCTTCTATTGGCCCTCGCTCTTTAAGGATGCAGACACCTTTGCACGACAGTGCGACCGCTGCCAAAGGTCAGGTAACATTTCTGCCCGGGATGAGATGCCCCAACATATCTCTGTTATTTGTGAAATTTTTGATGTTTGGGGTATCGATTTCATGGGCCCATTCCCTCCTTATTTTGGCAATCTGTACATATTGGTTGTAGTGGACTACGTCTCGAGGTGGGCAGAAGCTCAAGCCATGCCCACCAATGATGCAAGACGGGTCTGCTCATTTCTAAAGCAGCTGTTCTCCCGGTTCGGGACACCTCGCGCCATTATTAGTGATAGAGGAACTCATTTTCAGGGGCAATTCACTAAACTCCTCTCTCGCTATGGCGTTAAGCATTAGGTGTCGGTGGCCTACCATCCCCAGTCAAATGGGCAGGCCGAGCTGACGAACCGGGAGTTAAAACGAATAATTGAAAAGACGGTGGATCAGTCCCGCAAGGATTGGTCCATCAAGCTCGATGATGCTCTTTGGGCGTATAGGACTGCCTATAAAAATCCGATTGGCACCTCTCCCTATAGGCTTGTCTATGGGAAGGCGTGCCATTTGCTGGTAGAGCTAGAGCACAAGGCCTTCTGGGCCATTAAGCTGCTAAACCTGGATTTGAGTGTTGCAGGTACAGAACGTAAGTTGCAGCTGCTGGAGTTGGAGGAGTGGCGTTACCACGCCTACGAGAACACCCTACTCTACAAAGAGCGCACCAAGCGTCTTCACGATGCTAGGTTGAGGGGCCCGAAGGAGTTTCAAGTAGGTGATCGTGTTCTGCTCTTCAATGCACGCCTGAAACTCTTTCCGGGCAAGCTCCGTTCGAGGTGGTCGGGTCCCTTCACGGTCACCCAAGTTTTCCCGCATGGTGCGGTGGAGATCAGCTATGCTCAAACCGAGCCATTCAAGGTGAATGGCCACCTCCTAAATTTGTACTTGGGAGGTGCTGTCGAGCGCGCAGAGCTGCTGATCAAGCTCGAGGACCCTTAGTTCCTCTACTGGCGTCCAGCTAGAAGACGGTAAAGAAGCGCTTGTGGGGAGGCAACCCCACCGAGGTTTGCATTTTCTTACTTTTTTCCTTTTGTTTCTGTGTTTTTTGAGTCTCGAGATGTTGATCCAGAGACAAATGTCGTGTTTGAGTGAAAACAGGTTGAATTCGCGGCTCCAGCACCTCGCACGGCCAGGCCATAAACTTGCACGGCCGTGTGGATTTTCGCACGGCCAAAAGTGCAAATTTGCACGGCCGTGTGGCTTGGCCTGGCCTGGCCGTGTGGCCGACACGGGCAACACCAATTCTCGCACGGCCGTGTGGATTTTATCCTCTGGCCGTGCGAGCTCTCGGCAAATTCCACACTGCCAAATGTGCAATTCACACGGCCGTGTGGAATTCCTCGGCCTGGCCGTGTTGGCCAACACGGGCAAAAGTGCACCTTGCACGGCCGTACGAGCCTGCCCGTGCGGCCAAGCACGGCCTATATATTCGGCCAACACGGCCGAGTGGCCAGAATTTTTCACAACCCTCGCCGGAATCCTCTGAATCTGGCCGGAAAACCGCGACAAACCACCATATTTTGATTTTTCCGGCCATTTTTTGTCATTTTTTCACCAAACCAACAATAAACCCATCCTTCCCACATCAACCGCGGCTTATCCCTCCATTTTGAGGAGATTTGGCCGACGTTTTTGTCGCCGGAGGCGATTTCCGGCGAGACTCCGGCGAGGCTCCGACGAGCACTGCCGGCCACTTTTTCGGCGTTTTGTCCCTTCCATCGCCTTCCCCTCATCATCCCCTACACCTCTACTTGAGTCTCCAGGTTTGATTTTGCCCTTAACTATGTTAATTGTGGAGAATTGGGTGTTAGGGTGCATGTTTAGAGAACCTCATTGTATCTTGTGATTTTTGTGCAATTGATTGAGGGGAATGCATGGAGTGTGTTTGAATTGTGTTGGGCAATGTCCCCCTTGATTGTTTGAGCCCTTGTGTGCAAGAATTTTGCCAATTTCATGCTTAACTTAATAGTGCACACAAGGTGTTCGATGAAATGCCTGTTTTTCATGCCATGTTGTGGCCACCGGTTGGGGCCCTTAATGATGTACTTTGAGGGTGTATTTGCTATGGATGTGAACCTTAAGTTGCCTAATTTCTCGTGAATGTGCACCCCCACTCAGATTATGCTTCATTTAACGAGTTTTTGACCCCCGAACTATGGATGAAACCATGGTTAGGCTGTTTTCTGTTCTTAAGTGTGGGGGTGTGATTGACCTTTTCTTTGGCTCTTTTGGTTCCACTTTGGGTCGTTCTTTTGCAGGACAATGTCAAAACCTGACCTCAAGCACCCGTTCATCCGGGATCTGAGGAGGGGCCCTGACAAGGATCGCTTCAAGCAGGTCCGGGCATGCCCGTTTGGGCAGCACCATTGCTGGTCCAAATGGGAGTTTCGGAGATTGAACTGCTACGAGCAACTCTCCGCCGCCGTCGCCAACCGTACATGGCGCCGTCTGCTTTCCATCTGCGAGAAGGTCTACTACGAGCCCGTGCTGGAGTTCTACACGACCTTCAGGCACACACCCACGACCGATTGGAAGGACGGTACAGCCGTCAAATTCAGGCTAGGCGGTGCCCCCCGGTCCATGAGTTACCATGAGCTGGCCGAGGCTCTCGACCTCGACCTGGATGACGGTGCGGACTACATCACCGAGGTCAACGACCCGCCGGAGGTGGACTTCATGAGGCTGTACACCCGCCGGCTAAGCCAGGCCAGAGACGTCCCTTCTCGGCTGGGAGGACGAAGGCCACTACCCTCCTGCTCGACAACCGCCTTCTCCACCACCTGCTGGCGAAGTCTTACACCCCAGCGTCAGATAGTGCCAGCGCCATCACCAAGAGGGCCATGTACTTCATCGCTTCGATCCGCCAGTACGACCATCCTCTCCACTTGGGATCGGTGGTGGCGAGGACCTTTGAGAAGACTGCTTCGGAACTGAAAAGCCTCCACTGCGCCCCTCTCATCACCCGCCTGGCCACCTACTTCGGGCTTTCATTGTAGGGGTGCACACAGCAGGGGGACACCCTCGTCTTTGGCAGGAAGACGATCAGTCACATGCACCTGCTGCGAGAGAACCGCGACATTCTATGGGTCGAGGGGTTTCCAGAACCTCAGATCCCCGCGGAGACCCAGCCAGAGGTCCAGCAGAGGGCCAGGAGGAGGAGGCTGCTGATTATGTGGAGCCCAAGGAGGTGGATGCTGCTGTTGCCCCCCGCCCCACCACCTTCGAGTATGGCGGTGGCAGCTCCGCCTTCCCGGGCCAGGATTACTTCTCCTACCAGTTCGAGCAGCTGCGGATCCAGAACCAGCAGATCCTCGACCAGCAGATGCAGTTCCATCAGCAGTACGCGGAACACCAGGCCGAGTACCAGAACAGGATGGCATTTATGATGAGCGCCTGGACATACTCCAAACACAGCAGGGAGTGAGTCTCGCCCACATCGAGCGGGAGAAGCGTCGTTCACGGCGCATGCAGGAGGTCCAGCAACACCTGCTCCAGCTGCTCCCGGGCGAGCAGCCCGTCTGGAGGACTTCCTGGGAGGACTCTCCACTTCCACACCCCCAGCTGACGGTGATGATGGTGCTGATGGAGCTGCTGGTGATGAGGCCTTCATGGCCGACATCGACTTCGATGATCTTGGCGACGAGTAGGCTGTACTCGTTGCCCATCTCAGTGTGTTTTGTTTTTCGTTTTAGACTTTTGTGTGTTTGCTCCATGTGTGAGGAGCTTGAACTTAGTGGCGGTTGTTTTTGTTTTTGGTTTTCTTTTGTGGTTTGTTTATGTTGTAGCCGTCTGGGCTAACACTTATCCCTAATGCACAGTGTGCTAGTGTGTTCTTGGTGTTCGATTCGTGCAGAACTGTCCATCTTCCCGTCTGTTTCTCGCTGACTGGTCCACTTCCAGTCCCCCAACAGTGTTTCAATCCGGTAACATCGTTCCCCTTATCTCTCCCTCTACTCCATTGAGGGCAATGTCGTGCTTAAGTGTGGGGGGTGCTTTGTATAGGTTGGAATATATATCTGTGTGCTTGGAGCCTAGTCCGCTGTCCAAATCTTACGATTTGAGGGCTCCAAGTACTGCTGTTTGATCATATTAGCACTGTGTTTTGATTGATGAATTGAATGGTTTTCGGATTGATGCATGACAACTTGATTGTGACTAGGACAACCTATGATGAGGACTGAGACATGCAGTAGAATTGTGGAGGGGTTCAGTTCTCTCAACTGTTTGCTTACCAACTGTGACTTGATTTGATCACTTGTTCTTGACAGTCATTTATGCATCTAGTTCAGGGTATCAAAATGTGAGATAGAGCATATAGGTAGCCATGTGAGATTTGAGCCTGCTCGTTTCTTTCTTGTGCGATAGATCCCTCTTCCATGATGTGTAGCATTCACGTTGTCACTAGCTAAGATGATGGGGGCATAGGATTAGCCCACGACCAAAATTGACTGTTCTGATGTGTCATATTCCCTAGTTAGCCCCTTTGAGCCGTGTGTTATCCTTTCTTTTTGGTCTATAACGAAAAAATCACCCTTTTGCATCTTTTAGAAGGTTCCACAGAGTGGTTTTTACATATTCTCTACTGTTTCTGCTAAAGTTTATGTGAGTGTTGGAGGTAGTGCTTAAAAGTTGGGCAGGTATTTGAAATATGTGCAGAAGTGGTGGCTCTCTTAAGAAATGAAAAGAAAATGAAAGAAAAACAAAGAAAAAATTGAAAGCAAAAGAGAGCCACTACCAAAAATCTGAATAATGCCCAGTAAGTAGTGTTTCTTAGCAGTCTGGCTTGGAAATGCTGACATTTATACCTCCTTCGCTTTTGTGCTCTTGAGATATTGAGTAATGCAGAATAGCAGAAAGGAAATACCGGTTTGTTTGACTGTGATTGTGTGGGTTTGGAAATGTGGAACCTTGTGCTATGAATACTTCCACCACTTAAAAGGCCTTTTCCCCATGTCCAAGACCCTAGCCAGTCATTTGAACCTGTGTCTAAGACCTCCTGATTAGTTAGTGGTGACACCCCATATGTGAACTCTAGCATTTAGAGGTTGCCATCATGGTGAAGAGATGTTAGGGATTGAGAGAAATAGCATGCGCATTTTTCGCATCAAATTGTCCTGACCCCACTGGTCGAGAGTGAGTGATTCATTTTCATATTCTATATACTCTTGTACCCCGGTGAGGACCTAGATTGCTTGGTCTCTGTTCTGATGTCTTGAGTTGGATGCATGAGTTGACTGTTTTGAGTAAGTGGTTGAGTCAAGTCTAGGTTGGCTGGTGAACAGAAAGGAGACTCTTCCTTTACTCGATTTTGCTGCACTCGAATGTCCTTTGTGGTGGTTGTCCAGGTGGCTATTGAGGTTGTTCATGTATTGATGGTTGAAAACCAGTACGATTCACGTGTTCTGTGCCTTTATGACTTGTCCCCAATGTTGGTTGATTGAAATATGTAAGCTTACCTGGTGTCTGACTTGGTTTGCTTGGGGACAAGCAAACGGTTAAGTGTGGGGGAGTTTGATAGACCGTTATTTACACATGTTTTTACCCCTGTTCTTACACCGTTTGAGGTATTGATTCTCGTGTTTTAGGCCGATTTCACGCTAGGTTGTGCTTGGTTGTGATATTTCAGGTCCTAGTACGTGAATGGAGGCTTGGGAGCGAGTTTGGGGTCGATTGGACGAAGATCGGACGCATGGCGAGGTTCTAAGGAAGCCACACGGGCAGTCCTGGGTATCACACGGGCGTGAAAGTTGCAATTGTGGCCGTGTGACTTTCGCCAAGAGCAAACACGGGCAACCCAGGAAATCCACACGACCGTGCAACCCTGGCCGTGTGGGATGGCTGAAGGCCAACTTAATGATACGCTGCGTTTCGGCTCGCACGGGCAATTGGGTGAGCCACACGGCCGTGTGGCCTGCCCGTGTGAGTCGGGAAATTCTGGTTTTTCAGCCAATTTCGAGCCAAAAGTGAAGGGGGGGATTTTCAGAGCAAAAACAGAGCCCTAGAGAGAGAAAGTACGAAGAACACACCCTAGAAGCTATCTTAGAGCTGGGTTTCATCGAATTGAGCTTGGAGATCGTCATAGGAGTGGAAATCATCATCCCGGAGCAGATTTTCCTCATCATTATGAGTGTGACTACTCCGATTATTGTTTTCTTCTCTCTCTCTATGGAGTAGAACCCTTCTCTCACTTGGGTATGAAGAACCCTAGTTCCTTGTGTTAGGGATTTGATTGTAATGACTTGGGATGATTATACTGTTTGATTTTAATCGAATGATGCATGTTTATTGAATTGTTTGAAGTCTGATCAGCTTTTCTCGATTTCTGCTGCAACCTGAGATAGTTAGAATCTGATTAGGTTGTTAGAGCCTCTTCATTCGATAGTAGTAGATTGGCTATACGAGAGTTAGCCAGTTTACTGCTTTGTACTGGAATTCATTTCCAGTAGTGGAGTTCTGTGTTCATAGCCTCAGCTTTCTATCCCGGTGAAGACTAGTCGTCTGCCGGGTAGTTAGACTGAGAGGGCTTGGTTTGCTTAAGAGATTCCAAGCTACTGTCGGATCTTCCGCAGTCTAATCAACAGTGAATCAACCCAGGGGAATTACAATTGAACCTAATCAAGGGGCTAGGGGGACTCATTCCTGAGTGACTCTTACCTGCTTTTGAAAACCGAATCATTTCCTGTTTTCTTACTGCTTTTGCTTTAAACAACAATCAATCGAATTAGTTGTCTAGATAATAGACAATCACGGAGTAAGCAGTAGATCTAGACCCCGGGTTGATAATAGAACTTGCCTGTTACTGCATTCCCGGACTGCAATTACACTTGGTCGCAGTTTGGTGTTGTGTTTTGGCGTGTCAGGCGGCCAACAATTTCAAAATCAAGCCGGACCTCGTGACAATGATTTAGAACAATGCTTTGTTCCACGGGCTCACAAGTGAATCACCAAGGGAGCACGTGCAACGATTTATTGAGCTCGCGGGGACTTTGAAGATTAATGGCGTGCCGACGGAAGCTTTGCAACTAAGGCTTTTCTCTTACTCACTTACGGGGAAGGCGCTTAGATGGCTCAACAACCGGCCACCTCATTCAATTACCTCGTGTGATGATCTTCTCAACAAATTTATGACCCGCTATAGCCCGCCTTCGAAGACGGCCGAGTGGAGAAAGAAGATCACCCATTTCGAGCAAGATGAAGATGAAACCTTGAGGGATGCTTGAGAGAGATTCTCTGCTTATTTTCTTTAATGCCCTCACCATGGGTTCGAAGAACAATTCCGGATTGAAACTTTCTACACAGGGCTCATACATGAAGACAATATCCTCATTGATTCTCTTTGTCAAGGGAGCCTTCAAAGGTTATGATTGGGGTTTGTGATAATTGTCGAAAACATATTTATTTTGTGTGCTTAATATGAGTATTACACGATATGTTTAAGACATATAATAATTGTTTTAGGTCCAACTAAGCCTGGAATGGTTATAAAACCATTACCATCAAGTGCCAAATATTTTATATATATATCAGGTAAATGAAACGAGAAATTTGCATTGGTGGATAGAATAATTCAAGTGGACGGGATGTACATTGGACCGGAACTTACTGAGGAGTTGAACCGGGACTGGACTTTTGTGGGCTAGGGATTCTCTTTGGGCCTGGGCGGATGGAGGAATTTTGTTGGGGGCAATTAATTGCAAGGGGAGAAATTAGTTGGACAGGGGGAAGCTTTGGGGATTTGGCTGGGGGAATAATTGAGACTTGGACGGGGACAGAATTCTTTGGTACGAGAGGGAGCAAAAGGACGAGCAGCTAGCGGCGAGCTAGAGGGGCAGAACGGCGATTGGCGAATAGGAGCTTTAGCGAGCGGACTGAACAGGAGTTGTGCCTCCGTTCGATAATACAGTATTATGTTCTCTTTGATTTGGAACATGGTGATCAATATTTCATTGATTTATTTTAGTTTCATCATGAACTAAACCCCAATTTCTGGGGGAAACACCATAGGATGTAGCTATTTCTATACTTGATGGATTGATTTGTATTTCTTTTCTTCCATTCTCTATTGCATGAAATTACTTAATGCTTTGTGTTGACTGGTCACCAATATAATGATTTGTAGTTAATTAGGTTATTA